TAGCCTCAAGCATCCTAAGTGACGAACATATCAAAACAAGACCGTAATAACAATCAGTAATGGAACTTCCTCATGGATATAACTTTCATGCTAGTTGCAAATTTCCAACAAGGTATGTTTAAAATACTGTCTGGATCAACTTGGGGTTCGGGGAGACCTTACAAATGGTAGTCGACTCCTTGTAGTACCTAAATATTCACACAAATCGATCGCTAACGCTGGTCTTTTCGGATTTGAATGCTATAGGAAGCATTAGTTTCCTCAGATTTTCCAATGACATTTACTGAAGGAAGTATTTTATATTTAAACTGCTAATATGAAAGCGGCTGTTGGAAAATGAAACTGTAAGTTTTGTTGCTCATACTGCTTACTAATGGACCAATTTTCGACAGTTCACATTGATCTGCAACTTTCATCATAATAAACATTTATCAAAGGTCGACTGTCCATATAAAGAACTGAAACTCTGTTATTTTCTTTACTCTACGATATAATATGAATTGTATTCAGTAATTACAGGTTTAAAGTTCATATGATGTCCTTTATACCTTTAAATCTCTATGCATTTTTAGTTACTATATTCTTGGTCTGAAATACTCCACTTTACAACTCAAAGTTGATTTTATTAATATATGAATAGTTAAGCTAAAAACATAGATGGAATGTGGCTGGCAGCGGAATCCATGACTCGCATATCATCCTACTTAAGACCTATCAGCAGGTTGCTGTTCACTCCGGGACTCAAATCAGATAGAAAGACAGACAGATACAACAAAGACCTTCGTACGTAAGTACATCAGTTCAGGTTGCCATACCACATTAGCACAGAGACACAACTGTCAGTTCAAATCGCATAGTGGTAGCGATAGTAGAAGTATTAGCAGTAATGGAGAAGATTAGGGAGCGAAGATATGATTCGAGAAGTATAATTCAGTGAGATAAATTTAGAATGAGAAAGATAGGGACAATGAGGAATTCAGAAGGTTAGAATTTGCGAGAACACAACGAGTGGACGCACCTGCGCCATTGCAAACGATTCTGAGCCATGTCGTCCAAGGTCTCTCTGACCAACGGCTATTATTTTCTCTCGGCCCCCAACCAGATAGCCTACATCTACCAATATGACTCAGTCCACTTGTCAGTGACTTCATGGATTTCTCTACTCTGCTCTTCACGAGCTCTAGTTAGACGTGTAAGTATAATCGAGGCTAACAATTTAGAAACTATATTAGTTAGACTGATTTCCCTGTGACTGTCACAAGAGGACAGTCAGCGATTGAGACCAGTCAGATGGGATTTCGCCTAATTCCCAGATTCTATCTAAGATCTCGGTCAATCTCACTGTTAAAACTGGCCCACAATCCTTAAAAATCTCAGGTGTAAGCCTATCCGGCCCTGCTGCTCTCCCTAAATTTAGATGTCCTATAGCTTTTTCGACTTCATTAAGATTCGGAGGGCTTACGTCGACTGGCCATTCAGGATGGCTGGAGATCGTGGGCAACTGAATTGTTGCTGAATGCCAGTTCAACTGATCCCAGATGTGTTCTCCCCATCTATCCAATCTGGAGTGAGAATGAATAATAGTCCTACTCTTTTCCGAAATGGTCTCACTAACATTCGATTCCTAATACCGGTTTCCTTGTTAATTCGGAACAACTGTCTGCTGTTGCCTATCGCCGCTATCTTTTCCATCGCTCTCTCTTTCTCTACCTATCGCTGTTCGCGATCATTGCGTAGGCTTTTTATCAGCCTGCGCTTAAGCTGACTTCGCTCTTCATCATTTTCAGAGCCAGGTGGGGTGAGTTTCCAAGCGTCTGTCAGTTCGGTGGATGGTGCTGAGATCCACGGCTTCTTCCTAGCCTTATGGCTTACCTTACCAGTAGATACCACTACTGGATCCAAAGCCTTTTTGATATCATTCCAAGCTGCCTTCGGATAGGAATCACTTACATGGTCGCCTAACTGTCTCGAACTGACTCAAACCTCAGTCACTCAGTCATTTACAACTTAGAACTTCTTACTCAACTGCACTTAAAGTATCTAACAATCGGGTACTATTGTCTCGCGGACTCCAACAAGGTAGTCTTGTTATGATATTCATCAAATATCCCGAGACGATTATTCTTCTATCAATGTTACGTACTTCAATGTTGTTTCCCATTGGTCGTCCTAACTTTCAATATCGCAGACTTCAATGTTGTTTCCTATTCGACCTAACTGTATAAATACGCATTATCTGTAACGTTCCATGACCCGGACCTGGACCTGGATCCTTAGTCCGGGGATCCTACTTCTCTTCTGGACTCGGACCTCGTACTTTCTGGATGCTTGTAGAATACAGGTTCTACTTCATATCAAGTCTCTTTCTTTTACTCAACGGGTTGTTGTGACATGTTGTTGTAGCATGTCTTGTTGTCAGATCCTCGATCCTCAGTGCTCGCTCTCGTTTTCCAACTAAGGTAAACTCGTAATAGTTCAAGCATATCTAATTGGCATGTTTATGTGCAATCATAACAAGTCTACAATCACTAACATGACTTAGTCCACTTGTCAGTGACTTCATCGATTTGTGCCATGTTTTGGTTTAGCTGTCTGCTTTAAAAATATCAACATCGGGATAATTCAAACTATTTCAGATTGAATTAAATTTCGTGCCTGTTGCACATGTAAGTGGCTGTCTTGACTCAGTGGCTAAGTGGATAACTCGATGGTGTTAGAAGCAAACGGCGCTGGGTTTGAGTTACAGTGTCAACATCATCTAGCTGACGAGCCCCGAACATGACGAAACACATGTCGTAGATTCCACTGCTAACTACATTTTATCTGCTCTATGTCAACTTGTGCCATGATGGCTTTTTCGAGGCAATATGCATATAATGCCCACATGCCAACTTAGACTGATCAAATTTCAATCAACAAATCAACAATAGGATAATTCAAACCATTTTAAATTTAGTTAAGTTAAGGATTTTATGCAATGATGTTTAGCTTTCAAACCATAAATATTCATTCAAAGACATCATTCCTTCACTAAAATCACGAGTTGATCAATGTTAGACCACCGTTAGAAATATAGAACCACTGGGCAACCGTTTCGTCTCAGTGTGGAACCTAACAGTAGTGCTCAACCATGATCGTGCAAGCGAGGATCGAACCCTTTGGTCTGCCACGCGATCGCTTGACCTCTAAACTACTGATTCGGTATCCAGCTGTGTTAATGTCTAACTTCAATCAATCCACGATATTGTGCAACCTCATCTATTGTCTTCGGTAGGTTGAGCTCCACTGGTCTCGTCTCCTTAATAAAATTGCGAGAATTTCCTCACGAAGCTAGTCACTTGTTAGCGCATGATAATTATCATTAAAGTCTAGTGCAGATTATTGAGTTTCATTAGAATCAGTAGTCAGTCAATATTAGACCACTATTAGAAACCGAAGGTCCTGGGGTTCGACCCTGCATGCGGAGTGGTGGGTGCGCACTGCCGACGAGTCCCATACTAAATTGAAATGGCCTTTTAGTGCTTCCAGGTTTCACATTGATCGATTCATGATTTCAATAAAACTCAACAATCTCCACAACCCTGTAGTTACATCAATGTTTATCAATGTGAAAATCATCCTTTATGAAAATAATGTGATATATTTGTTTCTTTCAAGAAGCTTTAAAGTAGATTGATTTTTTTCAAATAGAAATGTAATTTGATAATAAATGTATTTATTTCTATATATATCATTCAAATTCTAGTGTTTGACTTGTTATTATATATGCATGGTTGAGAAAAAAGCAGTAGACATACTGCAATGCATTTAGTTTTAACGAATTCAATTCAAACAGATTTAATCCAATAATATCGTATGCTATTTTGATAATACTTTCGTCAAAATCATTATGAATATTGTTTGTTTCGATTTCGTAAAAAAAAATAGCCTGAATGTAACGAGTAACGCGTCAATAAAATCTTAACCGTTGTATTCACTATTTGGTTGTTCAATATTTCGAAATCAATGGTTCAATGGTAACATCTTTGAAACTTTGTAATTTTTTTTTATTGTAGACCTTGGGTTGCATGCTTAGCACTGGTATATTGCGTCGTCATCTAATGGTATGGAAGATATTTGCACCACGTTTGTTATTTTCAATTCTAAGTTTACTTATATCAGTTGTATGTCTCCCGTTGATTCGTTTTTTAGTTGTGTGTTGTCTTCACAAGAGAATTTGTAAAATTTTAGAAAATAACATACATGTGTATTGTACATCATAGACTTATACGTTTGTCAATGAAATCATATATATTTTTTTCTCTGCTCATCATAGATTGATCTTATTTTAAAAATGCTTGACTTGTTGTAAATTGTTAGAAACTAACTATTTTGAATGTGTACTACTACATGCTGCTGTACAATAACTCTCTCACTCTAATTTGTGATACTACAATTTCATTTATTTCCCTGTTTTTTTTCTATCGTGTAATGAGGTTATATATGCGTCTTCTGAAAGTTTCAATATTCATTATTCACAATTTATCTTTTGATAAAATCTATCTGCGTTTTAATAGACATTTTCACTGAGACAGTCTAATTAATCATAATGGCAAGCAAGAATTTAAGTAAACTAAAAATTTCAAATCTTATTGACAAATATTTAATAAATAAATTATTTCTGTATATCCGTAATCGTATTCAACAGATTGTTCATAAATTATTTGTGTATACTTTTAATTATTCACAACCAAAAAAAAAAAAACAAACAATGAAATCTAGGAAATTACTACTCTATTCGCCAAGCTTTTAGAGTTTCACTATTGAAAAATCTTTTAAATCAAGTAGTAGCCCAATGTATATTCAAGTTGTATTCATTATCCACTATCAATTCACCAAATCGTCAGTGAAGTTGATACTTATCTCAAAATTTAGAGGAGGATTGATTAAACTGAAATTTCTGAGTATCATATTGAAATTCGTCTCAGGAACTACAAGTATTTCATAATCTGGAAGCTCCAACAACTAAGTTCTTTCGTGTTATTAATCTTTTCTAATAGCACAGATCTCTCAGCTTTATTCAGACTAGCAATTAAAAACTTTGTTCATTCATTTGAAACAGAACTTGTATCATCACAAAATAACCAAGAGAAATAGATGATTGTATCAAATGAGTGACATGAACTTCGATTATCAGTATCACGAATGTTTAATAAAAATTACTCAATAATTCCCAATTATATAAATTTACCTGATTGGGCAAATGTCGATATACATTGGTTTTCAGGAAAACCAGACACCGTCTTGCTGTTATCACCACTAATTCATCAGAAAGAAGATAGTTAATTGAAACAGAAAAAAAACTTGACTTTATGTGTAAGGGTAAGCCGTTGAAAACTTCGATAATTAAAGTGTTAAGAGAAACCTTGTAATAAATGAGTATTAAATTTTCAATAAAATATTTCAGATCTACCGTGAGTATCTCAATATGAAAGATTGATTAGATGGATGACTGTTTACAGACTGCTACTTATTCTACCCTAAGTAAACTAATCATCATTTCAATTATTTCATGTAAATAAGTCGATTGACAAATGCTAACACCTATCTTGTTCATATTCCATTGTTCAATTATTTTGTCGTTATAAACAAATGTAATTTAGTTATTAAGTCAAGTGAAATGTTATCTCAATATGTTACGCGGTTTTGTACTAGAACTCTTATATCAGTCGGTAAAAAGTTATCTCATTCAAGGTAGTAAATTTAAATGAGACATAGCATAACACTTGAAGAACATTTTGCCCCAACAAAAGAATACATATTATACATCTATCTTAATGCTACCTTAGATGTACATGAACGCATATGCTAATTACGAAAGCATCCTTGTAACATCTAGTGATCACACTCTATTGTTTGACTGATCGACTTTATTAAATGCTTCAAATGTGTGTGAATAGATAGTTACTAACAATAAGAATACATGCTTTCATGTAAACAAGATTCGGTTGTATGTATGTAGCGTCACTGTTCTCTTCAAAATGATCTGAGCAATAGAACTTGGACGAAGTATACGTGATCTAGTTCGATATATATGATAAATTGTTAGTTGATTTGATTCTATTATTCTAGAACTACCTTCCTTCATTACAATTTATTCCATTCAGCAACAAATCAGTGGGACCATACAACATTCCAGCTGAGGCATTGAAAGCAGATATAAATGTAGCTGCGAAATGCTCCACGGCCACTTCAACGAAATTTGGGATGAAAAACAAGTACCGACGGACTGGAGAAAAACACACTGCATCAAGATACAAAATGAAGGAGACCTTCGTAAGTGAGAGAACTACAGAGGCATCATTCCACTATCAACAACAAGAAAAGTCTTCGGTGGAGTGTTGGTAAACCAAACAAAAGATTCAGTAGACACCCGACTTCCAGATCAGAAGGCTGGATTCCGTAAGGGTCGATCATGTGCCGACCGAATCGCGACACTACGGATCATTGTGGAACAATGACTTGAATAAAATTCACCACTATACATCAACTTCCTTGAATAGGAGGAAGCGTTTGATAACAGGATGACACTATGGCCACCTGAAAATATTGTCAACATCACACGGAATTCTTATGATGGATTAAACTGCAAAATCACGGATGGAGGACATCTCACAGACTTGTTCAAATCGAAGACCGGTATTAGAAATGGCTGCTTACGCTCACTTTTTCTCTTTCTTCCGGTAGTCAACAGGATTATCAAGATGTCAACATCTCATGGGAAGCACATAATACATTGGACAGTCAGGACGCAGCTGGACGACCTGAACTTGGCAGATGATCTGGCTCTTCTACTCCATACACAACAACAGATTCAGAAGAAGATGATCAGTGTAGTAGCAGCCTCTGCAGTAGCAACATGTCTCAACATACACACGAGGAAAAGAAAGATCCTCTGATACAACACAACATGCACTAACCAAATCTCACTTGATGGAGAAGCTTTGGAGCATGTAAAAACCATTTCACATCGGGGCAGCATGTCATTGAATTTTTCATCGTTTTATTATTCATCGCTAAATCTGTTGGGTATGTAAGATCCCAAGAAATCGCTTCATAAATATCTTTATTTTGGATTTATTTCATGGACTGATCACTTGACCTTGAAATCACATTTCCCACCAGGAGAATCCTTGGTTGCGATTGGTTACTGTGTCATTTTAGTGTGCTATTTTTGTGACTGTCCCAAGGACGTCTCTATAGAGTATAAATAAACGCAATTTGAGTGCTTGGATTGATTGTATGCTTGTTGGGTGTTTGTAGAATACAATTTCTACGCTATACCAAGAATTCTTACTGATTCAATTTTGTCAAGGGATCACAGTAGCCTACCTGGACGCTGGTTCATTGTTTGTTCTCGTTATTCGTCTAAGGTGAACTCGTAATAGTTTGGACATGATCTAAAGTTGTTTTCAAGTAAGCCGCCGAGTGAATGAAACATTTCGAAGATTAAACTATAAGTAGTTGTTGTCATTTTATTCTGTGAAAAATAACGTTCCGAACAATGTGATACAGAAATTTCTCATCAAGTTTCTCATTACCAAATAACATCCATTTGTTCATATTCATTAAAATAAATCAGTACGATCATAGGAGTAGAATGTGTTTGAGTAAAATTATATAAACTGCTATCAATAATAGGTTTATTGAAATTAACTGATCCGTAAGCGAAAATTCTCTCTGCAAAGATTTCATTTTTAAAAATCATACAGTGTTATTTATATGAAATAATTAGTCGAATGAACGAGTAATTTATGTTAGTGCTTATTTCAATAATAAATAAGATTTATAAAGTGCAGTCTATAACAATCTGTAAAACAAATAAATCATCAAACTGAATCTGTTAGTAAGATATAAGAGAGAATGAAGTTTTAAGACACGATCGGGTTGATTCACAGTTTCAAATATTATGTGCTTAAAAATGTAAACGTAAGGTTCTGTTTACCTGTTTGTTCTATCATGAATGAAGGGGTTAGGTACATGTATGACTGAATTACTCACAATGGATTAAGATGAACTCACTGCCTGTACTAGTTTAATTCTCCGTGGATTGTAAGATTTCATCCTGGCATCATGGCTATCGAGTTCTTTGAAAAGTTGCGCCGTTGTACTTCACTTTCTGTCACATGAAGCTATACATTTGATTTGACAAAAATTTTCTCATTGGTTTATTATTAACGGTTATTGCCTCTCAATGGTCATAGTCTTGGAAACTATCAACTTCACCTGAGATAGTCCTATTGTCCTCTCGATTTATATCTTGTTTAGAAAGTATTTAGAAGTTTCCCACTAAAACACATTGCCTTGTTGATTCTTTTGATGATTTATCACAGATTTTGAATTAATAGATAGTGTGCCCTGATATCAAGTTACGACGATAAGTAATTCCAATTCTCTGATATTAACAGTTATATATTAATGCTGTTGATTAGTTTGGAAAAAATTTAATAGTCTGCTAAAATTTATACAACATCGAAATCCATCTTTGCGAGGCAATAGAGACCCGATCATTATCATATTATTAGTAGTGAACTGCAATGTAATCCGGTTGAATTCATATTGGAGAGTCGACAAACCTCACAGCTTCTATCTGGTTTGTGTTGAAGATGTCGTCTAGAAAGACAATGAAAGGTTTACAATTGAACAAATCAGTTTGGCTAACGCATTTTCATAGAAATCATCCTCTTGAGCTACAAATCTTCTCGACTATTTTCACTAACCACAAGTTCAAAAGAAAGAATCAGTACACCATTTGCAACGGACTTGAGTTGACTATTAAATATATATCAAAAAATAGCCTTGGACTGGCCAATAAATGATTTCTATCAGTCTAAACATGCTACTCAGCTATTGAGTAAAAAAAAGCTGTAACCACAAGTTTTAGATAGTAAGTTGTCGATACTAATCGACATTTATGTTTTATCCCTAACCATTGACCAATATCACGTGACGAATACAGAATACCAATCAGTATTACGTCTAACACCAGCAATTTTGAATCAGCTCTAAATCCTTATTAATCCTCTACTCGATAGCTTCTTTCTTTCTTCCCTGTCTCTCGGTTGAGAGGTAGGTAGAGAGCCTCGGCAAAGTCGTTATGTCTCAAGGAGACATAGTTTACATACAAAATATACCAGACCAGGTCACACCAGAGAATGAGAAAATGCAATTGTACATTAGAAAGCCCAAAGAGATTGTGAATAGGAGAGTCTGTGAATGATAAACTGGCAAAATATTAGGAATGGAAAATTACATAAAACCGACCAATGTGTTAACAGGAGCTTGTAATAAATCCCCATTTATGAAGAGAACGCAATTGGTTTATTGGAAACATTCATTATTATAATCAATTGTATCAGTGATTGTTTAACTGTACTTCTTGTTTATAACACTCTTCACGCGCAAACTTTCTGTTTGTGTTGCTGCTATGTTTAGTTCTACCAGCTCTGTAAATTCGCCCCTTTTTCCTGACTCGATTTTGGTAATCTTTCGATACCACGAAATCACCAGCAAATATATTCTTCAATATGGAATAACCAATTTATCTTCTCAGTGACGGGTTCGTAATTACTATTTAGTAGTGATCATAGTCAATCTGGACTCGA